CTCATAGTGCCTTAGTAGGGCAACGACACAGTTCGATGGCGACCTATTACGCGAAGTCCGTTGAATTTATTGAAAAGTTAAAGGTCGAGCAAATTCGGATAATATTACATTTTATTTAAAGAATGAAGGACCGGACTGGTCATCAAACAGCTATTTCGGTTTGAGGCATATTGGACACCAGCTATTGCAAAATCAAATAGGAATACGACGGCGCCGTCCGATCAGGTTTTCTAACCACTTTTATAATAAAATAGCGATTAACTGTAACAGTGAAAGTTGTTGAATCATTTTGCGCCTGACAGGCGTGGCCTAAGGACGACTGTGTTAAGGTGAATCAAATATAATCGATTTCTTTTTTATTGAAACTGCGGATTCAAGCTTTCCCCATACTATATACATATTAATTAATATTAAGATGATGCATAAAATGGGTAGGCAAACAAATTATTAAACGGGTATGTTGTAATCAAATAAACGACGATGTGATATTGAACAAAAAGTCTACGGCCAATTTGTCTTTATCGATCGAAGCCTACGGTGAATGAACTACGTAGACGCTGCACAAAACACCCTCTTAATACCATGCATAAGAGTCAGAGTGTTCTAGTCATAAAAAAACCCTAAATAATTTCTTATTTGCAAAAGCGATAGGTGAAGGTATATAAATAAATAATTTACGATGATTTTTCCGTAGCTTTTCTAAATCAATTGTAGATAAGAACGATTTGAGCCAAATAGTTATATGGATGGTATAGTTTTTTCTAGTATGGTTTCTGCGTGTCAGTGGAACACCGGCTAGATCTTCATCATAATGCAACTGATTGATTAGCATCAGTATACTAGTAGTAGTTGTCCTCGTCAAATTTATCGTTAGTTACGCCCTATTTCCCATCCAATATTACACTATTACACCTCGAAGTCGTAAGGATTCTCCCCCTCTTTAAAGATGTTTTTAAAGAGTCAGGTTTGTCTTATCGAGCACGATAGGCGCGCACACCGTAGTATGAAACGACTCTGTGCCTGTGATCAATGTAAATCAATGAACAGCATAGCGTATTACTAACTGTCCTTGCCGGGACGTACATAGGGACGATTGTGCTTTTTGTAGCGTTTAGATCGCGTCATAAATACGAGTATTTTCGTTTAGATAAGCTATGGGAGCCGGCATACGGATTCAATAGCGGTAAAGCTGTCACGCGCGCGTCTTTCCGCTGATAGAGAGCAGAGGGACGCACGCCGGCACTGGCAACGAATCTAGACCAGTCTCAATCACGTTCGTAAGCGTTATCATTTCAAATACACACAGGCACACGCCAACGTTTCTGACATTTTTATCGCTAGTGTATAATAGCGTTGATAATGATAAACGAAACCGAAAAAAATACCATAGCAAAAATATGGTAAGATATATATATATATAGCGTCGTTATTGCTCATAATAACTTGCACCTGTTTGCTCGATACCGATTCTTCGTAGTAACTACTAACGGATGACGATAGAGCGCATCCGCAAGTAGATCTGTGCATGAAATAATAAACAGATGCGTATCTAGTGCAAGTAATAGTGCTATGGTGGTTGTTTTTCTTATGGAATATGGACAAAACGGACTCGGTTGTTGCGCTATTGACTGGTCTCTCCTCTATTCGTATTGATTAATGTACGGGAGAGACCTTTCCTGGACCGCGATTTTCTTACTTTCAACGTACGAAATGATAAATCCTTTATCAAGTTTGTCTTTTCGTTTTTTATTGCTTCCTTTGTTGTCAATTAATTGCTGTCTGCCAAGTTTATCCTTGGCGATGATAAAGGATCATCAGGAAGATAAATGATAGACGAGCGGGTGATTAAGAAAGAAATCGTCTTCTTTTGTGTACTTTTTCTGTGTACAGATTGGCTAGCCATTGTGTTGTGGCGTGCCTCGGCATCTTTGAAAGGTCAGTGTGGTTATCGTTCGTGCACGTCGCTAACAGGATACCTTTTTTCGCTGTTTTTTTTTTTTTTTTTTTTTTTTTTTGTAGCTTTTTTCTTTTGGCAATAATGTGTCTTTCAGTTCGTTGCTATAAAAAGTGAAGACGATGTTTAAAAATCTCACGAGTTCTCGGCAATCCTTGTTTTGTCTTAATTTCTTCGAAGACTACTTCGACAGGGTCGAAAGAAGGTCTTTTTTTGCCTCGACTATTCAGCTATAGACAATTACGTGGACGTAATGGTTTAATCAAAACATGAAACCGTTGACATTGATTAAGCCGTCTGATATTTGCTCGAGCATCAGATCATTTAAAAACAAGGTACAGACCAAAAAAGTTGACGAAGTGGCATGCACAGGTATTGTTTTTTTAACATTTTTAATGAAGGACTTTTTATGCCGTCGCTGATCGGTCCGGAACTCAGCCAATGAGACCGTAAGTAATTTTTGATCAAAATGTCTTTCAAAGCAAAAAATCCAATAAATTAGCAACGGAATCATTATCGCACTTGGTAACTTGTCATAGCTTTTTCTCTGCATTCTAAACTGCTTTAACGTTGACTTAACTTTATTCAGATGTTAGGTAGAATTAGTAATCCTAATTAGTAATTAGTAAATTAGTAAAAAATGCCCACAAAATCATTCATGGCACAGGCTGCTAGCCGTCTGCCTTCCAAAACGTCGTCCCCTATAAACATGTATTAATAGAAGATATATAAATAGTTCCCTTAGTAAAAGCGCTTTTTAAAGCGGTTCCCATATAACAATGGTACGGCTTTCACATAGCTAGTACCATGGTGCCCGGAGTACGAAATCTATCTGGGGAAACTATTGCCTCGTGAAGTGTACTGTTCATATTTCTTATTAACTTACGTGACGGTGTAAAAATAGATCCCGACAAAAACTCATATGAATTTAATAAGATCACAGTACGTATACACTCTAAATATTGTTACAATTGGGTTTATTATTTGACGCGAAGGCCACAATTTCAGAACTTTAATTCAACGGCAATTAATACGCGAGCAGTGTCTAGCAGTAATGAACATCAGATTATGTAGCTAACCCAAATGTGCTGTTTTTAGTCGACTCATGCGGAATTGCTCAAAGAATAGACTTTCCGATACGCACCGTTTCTATATCAAAGGTTTCTTTTTTTCATCCTGAACTCTGTAAGGCTGTTGCGTTCTCTTCGCAAGAATCAAATGGCTTTGTCGATTTGTTTTTCTATCGGAACAAAGAAACTACGTAAAAAAAAACATGAATGGATATTTCAATGCAGGCTAAAGGCAGAAATAGAGTTGTTATAGAGGACCAAATTGGAGATACTCGTAAATGCTGCCACTCAGCTTCTTTGACTTCGGTTAGTAACGTTTGGTAGATCCAACAATGCCAAAATCGTTTTATGGCGAACACGTACGGTTGAGGAGTACGAAATTCAGCTTTTTAAAAAATAAATGCAGTACATACATTGGATGAGCTATATCTCGATCAGTTGTATCGTTGTCAACTGCTCGAAGTTGCAAATTTTCGGAAGCAAAACATTACCTATGCGAGATCAACGATTCCCAAAGTAACGAGTTACAATTTGATACTGAAGACTCCTCCATTCATATCATAATTTGTAGATGAGATTTACGGCAATTTGTGGAGCGTGCTTTCAGCGTACGAGGCTTTATCTTCTATCTTGAATCGATCAGTCGTTCATGCTCGTGGATTGACACGTGTTACGAATAGGTGCGACGAACGATTTCGAAGTACAAAGGTTACAAAAGGAATAGCGTAGCTTATTTGGTTCGCCGTCTGCCCCTCGCGAGTCAACCAGACTAAAGCTAGAATAGTACAGCGTATCAGAGAAATCAAGGTAGCAGTTAATGCACATACGTATAGGCAACAGTTACGAATTCGGCTTAATCCGCTCGTACATTGTAAGGTTTACTAATTTGGACAGATGATGCGGACTAATAGCGGTTCACTGTTGTGAAGGTGTCCCTTTAAACGATCTATAGGAGTAAAGTCTTTGAAATGATTAGGTGTTTACTATACAATACTTCAGGATATCATCTTCTTCACACTATTGAACTATTAGGAATATGACGTATGGGATCATAATGCGGCAAATTGTTTATCGATATTTTCGCTATTCAGACGTCCGCTCAAAACTCTATTGTGTGTGTATTGTTTTGTGTGACGTTAAACTGAAGCCAGCAGTTAGCAAGGTTTGAGCGTTGTGCAGAGCCCGTCCATAAGAATAATAATAGCCCTTGGCAACTGAGCAGTCATATTATTATTTTACGTTAGGTATCCGATATTTCGAAGAGGAGAGCTTCCAGTGATAGCGAAGGCATACTTCGGCTCTAGAAAGAGCCGAAAGTTGGGAACTTCAACGCGCCCCGCTGCGGACGGCCGAAGCAGTAGCGTCTTTGCAGCTGTAAGAACCGTTAGAAGTGGGTAGAAGATAATAGACAGGCTTCAGCATAAGATGCCATCATCGCCGTCGCATAACTATTCACAACAACAGGTTGTAGTAACTAACAGGCTTTTTCGAAGCAAACAGGTGTCAACAGATTATAGTCTTCACGCACCGGGAGCATAGCCTCGAACGCCAATGAACTAGACAATAGAGATAGCGATTATTCGACCCGTCCCCGGCCTGCCTGTCAGTCAGTCAATCAAATCCGCCCAGAGATAGGCAGTTGTAAGGGACGGGACTGTTGACTGCTCTGCTATGAGTCCTATATCGGACGATAAACTGGAATCCACCGCAGTTAGAACGTATACGTATAAGCATATCCAGAATGAGTAACCCACAAATAATAGCAATATTCACTATCCTAGAAGGCGATGGCCTCCATTGATTCACAATAATTTATATCCAAAGGTCAAAATTTTGAGCATCCTGAGACACGCTCAGCCTACAATCCCTAAGAACAACACGATTTGCCAATCACTCACACACGGGGAGCACACAAAATACAATCCAAGTAGTACGTACACTCCGGACAGCCAGGCCAATCACCGTCACTAACCTACCTGTGGTCAGCGATGCGAAGCTCGCCTGTTGTTGTTTTGGCTGTAATCCTCTTTTGAAATTTAGCAAGTATAGAAAAACAGATGGCAGATCAAACAAACACTCTACACGACTGTTGTTCAAGGTAGAAGATATTGAGTTTGGACCTCCGTCTTATTTCCTAATATGATTACTATAAGTTGCCCGCTTTGTAGAGCACACACTGGACACCAATAGAACGGGACGAACTCAAATGTAAATTAGGACACGGAACGCAAGTCTACGATGCGCATACGAATAGAAACGGCTGATCGATACAAAAACACTATGAAACGAACTACACCAGACAAAGTTCTCGTTAACACTGAGCAAATGTGGGTCAGAGCAAAGACTTTCTAGTGGCGAAGGGGCAGACTAGAGGTAGCAACAGCTGCTGCTGCTGCTGCTGCTGCCGCTGGTCGTCTTTGTGGTATGGTGCACTGCCACTGCTGCGCGAATCGGCCATAGTAAACGTTTTTCGCTTCCCGCATCGCTTGGCTCTTCGTCAGTTCCCTCAGCTCCATAGCCGCAGACCTCGTCGTCGTCGTCATCGGCAAAAACGTCGTCCGCAGGGCGACCACTTCTCCTCCACCGGGGGCAGCAGCGGCTGCGGCAACGACGACGTTGCCGCCTCTGCCACCATCACCACAAAGTCTTACCGCTGACTCTTGCCCGCTTCTGCTGTTGCCGCATGCTGCTACTGCCGTTGTTGAGATGCCTTCTCAGTTACCATCGCCCCTGCAAAGACGATGACCAAAAACGTGCAGCTACAAACCAAGGAACAAACGAAGCCCTCGACCGCACGCGTTGCTGTAGTTTCCCTTCTACCGCCGTTGCAGACATCGTTGTACCGCAGTGGCCGTGGCCACTGCAGTCGTCAATTTTCGATGATTGCCGCTTTGATGGAGGGGCAAGTATGCCGATAGTAATGGCCTTAGTGGCGGCGGTGGCGGCGGCGGCGGCGGATATTAATCGGTGTTACAGTACCGCGTAGGCTTCACTGCGGTGAAGACAAGATCAGCCAAACTTTTCTTCTGTTCTTAAGGGGCCCGTAATGGAACAATGTGGTCGTTGCCTCTAGCGGGGCACCATTGAGCGATAATATAGGAGGACGTTTAGTGAAAGAATAACGGAAGTAAACGTATCAAAGCAAACCAGCCAACAGACAAATTTAAGGTAGTATCCTACTAATCTCTACTTTTTTTTTGCCACTGATATGTGCTGTACCAGCAGCAGGTAGTATACACATGTGATTGATTTGGTACGGCAAAGTAAACAGGCAAACTCCGATCTGATTATATCTACCATTATATAAGGATCAGCGGGATGGTGGGCAAACTCTGAGAGGTACAACGCGACGCCATGATACCATAAAGCCATCACATCGCTGATCGACACGCAGCCACAAATAACAGTAGTAGCAGCTAGGCCAGCAGTTATGCGCATCACCGTAACAGGACCTAAGAAAAGGGGTGCGATCTCAAAAACACAGGCAACTACACCAACAGCAAGATCGGAGGTTATTGCCACACGGTGACCGCAGTTGGTATCGCTAATCGTAAAAAAATCGGGTTTTCGTCGTGGGAACAGCAGAGACTCGCCACAATCGCCTATGCATAGAGCAGCAACAAACAGTATGTAGACAACAACTACAACAGCGATGGTAACAGCCACGGCAAACCAGAATTGCGTCGGAAGATCACGAACAGCAAACATCGACCAGAGGTCAGGAAAACGGGGAGCTAAGGATGTCCGCCCCTGGACAGGCAAACAGTATGGGCGATCTTCTTAACAAATTCCGAACGAAGTAATCAGAACATAAACGCTGCCATTAAAGGTAAACATGAAAGAATTTGCGAAGAAAATATTATCATGCTTATTTTCGTTCAGGCTGGCCCAATTTTCGTGTGGGAATGGGCCGCGCAAGCGGAACGTAGGCTATTTATTCAAACACACGATGAACATCCGGCTGTTATCTACCTTTAATTAAGCGTCATGTCTGTTCTGCATGCTTTTTGTGGAGACGACTAGCTGTCTGAATTAGGACTTAGGTCAGCATGATACTAAAATTTGATTAGATCAAATCTATCCTCTTCAGCCTGGCTTATGATGTAAGTGCTGCCATTACTGTCGCAACCCCGAAGAGATTCTGAAGTACATTTGGGAACTCTATCGTTATGCTTTAGATAGAGGCCAGCGGCGTGCGTGGCAAAAAAGCGACAGAGAAAATGTCAGTTAAACAATGCAAAGCGCCTCCTCCAACACGTGCTGTATGACCTACTAGCTATTTCCAGCATGGCTAACGCCGATCAAACCCCACGATTAGTACCTTTACAAGCGATACCACCGGCATAATGATCTAATTTTAGAACCAAAAATGTTCTGAGTACTTTTCTGAAACCAATCCCTTTCATTACTGTTTGGTCTTTTAGAAACGAACGCTCCGTGTTGCGACAATATTCGTACCTTCCCCAAGAGGGAAGTTGGAATTCAGGGCCCGCGCTTTTTATTTCCTTGAACACTTATATCTCTATCGATTTTTCCGTTAATTAAGAAGTAAAACAGCGTGTAATTAATAGCTGAACATTAATAGTGGGCTTGCTCATAATAGCCACTTATACAAAATGTAAGAGAAATTATTTACGAAATGTCCAGGTACTGAAAAGTTGAGGGTTAGGCTGTTGTCCAGACGTTTATCTGCCTGTTTGTCGGATGGCCAACAACAAGTACAGGCAGTACCTGTCTTTGGCCATCGCCGTAATTAATAAATACATGCAGGACTTGGTGGACGCAAGATCGTTGTTATGAGTACGTATGAATGTGCGATGACTTAAGGCGAAGGCAAAGCTCTTTCTGATTCGGGAGGTGTTAACATTAGCAGTTGTCCGAATAGTAGGAATCGCGGCAACGACAGCGGAGGCGGTCGTCATTGCAGCAATCGATTCGGGTCTAATGACGCCCTGTGGTCCCCCTTTTCATAGGGTTAGCAGTCGATAATCTAATGGAAGGGCCGGTAAACAGAAAAACTTTAGTTAATTTATTATCCGTTGAGTTACAGCAGTGATCGTTAACCGCACAGTCTCATAGCGCGTACATTTTTCGTATGGCTCCGTGGCTTCTACTGTTGTTGTTATTATAAAAGCGGTAATTTTTTTCAACTGCTAACCCGCAAGAGTGCCGGCTATAGCAATAATATTAAATATCGTGTATATAATAGTGGTCAAAGGCATATAGATTAATCAGCGTTTCTATCACATTCGTTTTTGATTCTGGCCTGCACTCAACGGTTGGAAGTAAACACAAAGTGCACTGTTCAATTTATTGTACGGCTCATACGAATAGTAAAAAACCAGGAGCGACTTCAACATCAGCTTGACCCCAGTGAGTGGTCAACTTTGAGTGCGGTAAGTACGAAAAACATAACGAGTTAATTGACCTGTGTGTATGTGTATGTACGTGCATCCGCTGTTGTACGTATCATAAATAAATGTAAATGGTGTCCTCACGAACTTTTCGGCGTCTAGCCGCGATTCGTGTAGTTGTAAATAAGGAATAAATTTCACACACGCATTGTGTATGACTATGTTTAACTAGTCAAAGCCAGCGTTGAGTGGATTTATTTACAGAGTTTCCTATGAAGAGGCTATTTGCGAAATTGCCAAAATCATAATGTCAACGTTAGATAATATAATCGTTTATCTCTAGAAAAACTGTCTGTAAATGGAAACATTTCTATACCCTTCAACAAATGAAAAAGGTCATATATTCAGCAGACTAGATTCTAGGTGTCGTCGTGCATGAATTAAGCCTTATTATCTGATTGTGTTCTGAGGTCTGAACAGAACGAATCACTGATGATTCGTAACATGTGTGTGATGCAAATTTGGATGCGATGATACTATTGATAGATAGATAGAATGACAGTAGGAATCTATTTTTATTTACGCAGATCAGTCGGTTTCTGATTTGCTGGACTTAGAGAATCTTTGATATATGCGTAGTTCGCTAGAAGCCTTAATTGGCGTTAACCTTAAAGATAGCCGATAATGAATTGGGTTGATAAAAAAAATCGAGCGTTTTGCCGGCTAACTAACATGTATACTGGTTGAAAGTCGTCGAAAAAATACACCTCGTCAAGATCGACTGCGCGCCAAAGATGCTTTTCTTTTGCAAGGGCGTAAAGCGTGGGCTTTAGATGCGACAAATGCGCCTTTGATTATTTGGATGAAACTAAATAAGTAATTACTCAATCTGCTTTTTTGAACATGATAGAAGTCATGAACATGTCTAATGTTCATGACTTTCTATCATCGTAATAAGTCAGACCTCCGGGCATGGAACCCCAGCCAAGAGTTCTACTGGCGTACTGGCGTATTTCGGAAAATTGTGGTGATTTATAAACCGCAAGATAGCTAACAACATTTCCTAGTTCCTGTGCTTTGGCGTTCTGAGTTTTACACGTCGTTGTTATTTAGTTACAGAGGTTGATGAGAGACGATAGCTGTTGTATCTCCTGTATTGTAGAGCGAGCCTACAGAAAACCCACAGCCTGTGTCAATGAAATACGTAAGTTTATATATATGTCGTACAAGATGAAATATATAGATATGTATATGAGAGCGCCGCATGGTTGCCTCCTTGTTTGGGCCGAAGCAGTTATTTCTAGCTTGACTATTAAGGTGGAATCATTTTTTGTCATAATATTTTAATAATACTTCATATTTCCGTATCTACGGAACCATAACGGACCATTATACGGACCATATAAACAGACCATTCTTTCATAATTGATATTTTGTCTCCTTTACTATCTTCGTCGATATGCTCCTATCCACAAACGATCGACCTCAAATGATCCATTAGCGTAGGTTAAATCAGCGCTTCGTATTACTGAAGTAATAATGATTATGAGCACTGGCCATAGCATTGATTGCTCGATAAAAATATATTGTATGACATTTCTATTATTCGGTGATCTCTGTAAAACGTATTACATTACTATAGGATTAGATGTCGTCTCATTAATACTTGGCAGATATACGTATGTGCGTGAATCGTCACAGAATTTTTATTGTATGATTGACACTTTGGGGATTGTCGAAGGATAGATTGAAACAGGCTGAGAAACAAAATGACGAACCTTGGAAAGTCGCTATCCCTATTGAACTTTGAATTGATGTACTTAAGTTGTCGTGCTAAAATACGAAACAGTCACTGCAACGGTGCTCGTGATGGTATCCCGTCATGGCGTCAGCTTTCGGCCGTCGGCAGCAGTTGAATGTTGGTGAACACGCATCAAACCTATCTTAATATTTTCATCATACATTTATTTGTATCGAGAGCTCGAAATGTTCAGGTGGATTTAGGGGTTGCCGGTTTCTTTTAGCACTATATGCTAGTAGTTCGACGTATATGTAGAAGGTAAGTTCTCTGCTCAAGTGGAAAGAGATACGTATATGGCCCTAACTAAGAGTAGATTCAATATGCAGCGTATTTGTAATCCTAGTGCC